GCAATTTTGTCTAGTCTTTCCTAGTTTTCACTTTGTAAGTAGGCTACTACGATTATAGGACAGTTCCTTTGTTCATTGCTTTTGAAAACCTGATTCAGCTAAAATTCTTGGAATGGACAACTGGCCCTTGTAGTAACAACCTAGCCTTTTCCTTGTTAGAGGTTGCCAGTAATACAAATTTGAAAGTTGTCACAGATTTGATAAAAGAAATCCTTGTCTTCATGAATGCTTGTTTTAACACTTGGGCTTCCTATACTGAGTAGATTTTGTGAAGCTTTGCCCAGATTTCTGTTCATGTTTAAATATAATGAATATTATCATATATAATGCATTCTCTTTAAAGTTGTTTGCTCCTACTCTCTCTCCTTTCACATTATTCATTTCATTTCTATATAATTTGTGCTGTCATTTTTCCTCCAAAGCATAAAACAACAACAAAAGCATGCCACCTTCAGACTGCTGGGCAATATTTTTTGAGGGGAGCCTGCAGAACATATTCAATCTTGTGGTTAGCTTAGGGCCACCTATACAAAAATGGGTGTGGTCAGGAAAAAATTCAGTGGCATATTAAGAGGGGGGGGGTGCAGCAGGTTAAAATAAGCTTCCTAGGGGACCTTCAGGCCTGTGGGCTTGTGGTTGACACAAACCATATATTTCTGATCTTGAATAACCATGTAAAGTATAAGATGGGTGATATCAGAATCTGAAATTCAGGCAGATAAAGAGCAGAAGAGATATCTGAAATAACTGGAAAAAAGATAATGGAGTCTGAGCAAGTGTAGTTGTGAATTCTTGTTTGATCCTATACTGTGGCAATTAGAGTGGTAAATTGTTATAATGCTCCTCTCTGACTGCATTTGGGAGGGGGGTTGCCAGCTAGTGACCTTGTTTAGGTTGGCCAATTTCTTTTTTGGGAGGGGGCCCTGAGTTTTTTTCTTGCCTGGCCTCTGTGATCAGTTGGTGCATGACTTTGTGGATCTGACTGTTCAGGTTCTTGGCTGTGATGTGGTGACTGGGGAAATGCTTTGTCATGTTACCCTGGACCACCTGAGCCTGAATTCTCTAAAGAAGAGGGTAAGATGGTCTCTGAGATACTGTCAGCCACTTATGGCCTGGATCCATGCTTCTCCTGGCTCCTTTGTGGGACAAGGGTGCATGTGAAGGTAAGCTAGTCTGAGAGATAATTAGAGCCTCATGGGGTAGTAGTACTGGCTGCCTTGAAAGAAGCTGTAACGCTCTGCTTGTTTAACAGGCCTTTCCTGAATCCAGCTGTTCTTGTTAATTAACATTCTAACTCTAAGCTACTCTTGTGAGGGAATGTTATTGAAATTTCAGTCAGCCGATAACTCAGAACCACCCAAAGATGAAGTGGGTTATCAGGTGCTTTTCAGTCAGCTTTTGGGCCTGGCCATGGGATAAAGTCAGCACTGGTTATTCTTAAAATAACTGTATTAGATTAAACCCCTCTGGTTTCAGTTGTATATTAATCTTTAACATCTTCTGAATTAATGCACTCATATGAATCCAAAACATTTTGGCTTGTTTACATGTCCACCAAACACAGTAAAAAGTCCTCTCTTCCTTTATACATTTTAGACATTTTTTTTCTGGTGACAAATACCAAAAGTATATCATTTTATAAAAATTCTCTGTAAGATTATAACAATGAAAAATTTCAAACCTTTCACCCACATCTTTCACGATTTAATTTTTAGTAAAAGTTTATAAATTTTATCACTGTTACTCATTTGTATATAATTCTGCTTCAGATTCTGTCTTACAATGTTCAGAATCAAAATTCCTTTTATCTATTTTAAATCTTTCCAGTAATTTTATATAATAAAAGTGTGTGTGTGTGTGTGTGATTATCATTTGTGTTGTTGGAACTTGGCTGGAGATAGCCTGAACCATTTTTGTTGGCTTTTGATACCACTGATCATAATACATTTTTGAACCTCTGGTGAAGGTTGGACAATGGAGGTATTCTTTTGAAATGATGGCAATCCTTCCTAAAGGAGTGGGGTTCCAGTAAGTAGGGCCATGTGGAATGAATAGGCAAGGAGTTGACTGCAAGGTTCAATATCTCCCCTCTTGCCATTTAATAACTGCATGAAACGGCAGGGACAAGTCATCATTCATTGGTTTGGGGTGGGCAGTGTCATGTATGGTGATGATACTCAGTTGTTCATCATCATAACACGCTGCGTAGGAGGTCTTGTCAACATCTTGTCCTGGTTTGTAAAGGCTGTTAAGATTTAAATAAGACAAAAAGGCTGACATTGACTGCCAACATGACAAAGTTGCAATTTGTCCACTGAGGTGTTTTGTTGACTGTCAAAAAGCAGATCTAAGACTTGGAAGTCTTTCTATTTCATGGCCAGGTAGAGACCAGTGGTATACATATTAGATAGGATCCTCCCTGGGGCAAAGGACTCTTAAAGCAGTAACTCACCTTTGCTTTGGGGCCTGCAATGGCTTCATTATAGCTTTCAAGTACAATTCAAAGTGCTGGTCATTACAGGTAGTCATTTAGTGACTGTTCAAAGTTACATCATGGAAAAAAGTGTTATTTTTCACTCTTATGACCATTGCAGCATCCCCATAGTCACATGATCAAAATTCAGATGCTTGGGAACTGGCTCATATGTATGACAGTTGCAGTATCCTGGGGTCATGTGATAATCTTTTGCAACCTTCTGACAAGCAAGTCAATGGGGAAGCCAGATTCACTTAACAACCATGTTACTAATTTAACAACTGCAGTGATTCACCTAACGCAGGGGTGTCAAACTGCCAGCTTGTGGGCCGGACGTGTCACGCAGAAGCTGCACCCACCCCATTGCCGGCAATGGCAAAACAGTGCAGATACGTTGCGCAATGTCATGTGATGTCACGAGTTTGACATGTCTGACCTAACGGTACTGACAAGAAAGATCATAAAATGGACCAAAACTCTCTTAACAACTGTCTCACTTAGCAACAGAAATCTGGAGCTCAATTGTGGCTGTAAGTTGAGGACTACCTAGAAAGCCTTACCACGCACTGGAACACTTGCAGGACTCCCTCCTCCCATGGGAACTGACCTACCTGAATTTTGTATCCTGAGAGAAGCTGCTACTGATCCTCCTTTCTTTGATACTGGTACTGCTGAGATCTGCAACTGCTCTGCTTTTTGGTGACACTGCCTGGGCTATCATGGAATCACACACACACACACTCCAGTCAAAATCAGGCTGGTGCAGATGGTTTTATCTTCCTGAAAATTGTTGAAGGCTTATTATGAGTCATAGGACTCTCAAGATTGTTTAATTTATTTTATGCTTATAGTTTTATCTTTTTATGCTTTTTTTTAGTTTTCATCTACCTCTTATTGGGGATGGTCTGATTTTCATTGCTTCATCCTTTGCTTACTCTTAATTACTATGAGCTGTCAAGAGTCTGAGAGATTGCAATGGGTGAAAATATAATAATAATAATAATAATAATAATAATAATAATAATAATAATAATAATAATAATAATAATAATAATGATGATGATGATGATGATGATGATGATGATGATGATGATGATGATGATGATAAAGTTGGAAGGGACCTTGAAGGTCATCTAGTCCAACAATGAATGAATGAATGAATGAATGAATGGTATCAAGTAGAAAGAGCATCAAAAAGTATTTATTTATTAAAGTTTGCTTCTTGTGTGTGTAAAGCGTTTTATAGAGAACATGACAGAATAGTAAATAGTAAATTAATTGAGAAGTCTCTCCTCAAGTCAGAGTGTTTCTGGTCATCAGACCATTGGTACTTGCCCTAATCATTGCTTTTTACATGGGATGGCAAAATCATGGAAACAGGATATTTGGGTAGATCATGGGGCTAGACAGGACAGGAGACCAACCAAGTTAGATGGATGGATGGGTGAGGACTCAGTCAATTGGAATTCAAGGCTGTTACACATATTATTGAAGCACTTGTTCTAGTGATTGAAAAGATAAATTTGCCACTTTCAATTTAAGAATGTTTATTGATTGAATGCCCAATACCAGCCATAAAGCATTTCTTTCCTAGCTGCAGACATCTGATGCTTTTGGTCCTTAAAAGCAAACATTATCAAACATAAAATATTTGAGGGGTCCTTGGTGCTCTCCTACTTTGGTTGTTTTCTTGTCGCCGTTTCATTATCCAAACTAAGTAACGTCATCAGTGCTAGCGATGATGACGTTACCTAGTTTGAGTAATGAAATATCTTACAAGAAAACAACCAAAGTCAGAGAACATCAAGGACCTCTCTTTTCAACCCTGAGCTACACATGTTCTCCTTTATTGGTATATAAAATATTTCTTTGATCAGAGTTCTTCATGAGCCCATAAACCTCCTTTTTTCATTTCCAGGGAAAAGAAAGAAATCTTTGTAGTAGATCCTTCAAGCAACCTGTATTATAGGTGGTTGGGAATCATTGCAGTACCAGTATTCTATAACTGGTGTCTATTGGTATGTAGGTAAGGATGATTCTTAATGCATCCCTGTTTGGTTACTAGTATTTTTGTCACTGGCATCTGAGGGTGGGGGTAGGGGTGATTAAAAAAAAGTCAAGATTGTGGCTAGAAATCAAAGCTCTGCAGTTATTTACATGTGTTACATATATGTTTCACATGAAAAGAGAAGGAGTTTCAATTGTACAATTGCCACCAGCATCCTGATTTTCCACCCCTCTGCAATTGCTTCTGGTTCTGAAATTTAATCTGTCTGTCTGTCTGTCTATCTTTCACAAAATGTTTATTTGCATCAGGTCCTTTTTTGGCAATCGTGTAAGTAAACAGCAGCTTAAAAAGTAAAGTTGTGTATGCTTTAAAAATAGTTTGAAAAAGATACTGTGGACCTTCTGAGGCTATAACATTTCTCACTAAAACCTGCATGAGTCACAACAAGAGGTTGTGACTGAGTTGCACTAAAGATAGGCTACTTTAATGATTATTTAATAATTCAGTAATCAGCTAAAGACAGTCTTTGATTAGATTCACACAAAGAGCTCTGTGGTTTGTTTTCACCGTGCTTAGCTGAATAAACCCTAATTGACTCAATTCTCACAAATTAAGCAAGAAACTAAGAACTGCAAAAACCCAACAGTCAGGTTCATACAGAATACTTAGCAAACCAACCAAATAATATATGAATCTCTGTCTAGCTAACTATTCATTCTGAGCACAACAAGATAATGGTTTGGATTCCTTGTTCAATTATACGCATGTATCGAACTCTTGATCCATACACATGTGAATCAGAAAATACCATGTTTGTAGCAGCCTGTAGGCGCCACCTGGTGGATCATTTGTCAACTAGGAATGGCTACATTCCTTATGGGCTAACTCTGCATTGGTCTTTTCATTCAATAACAGGACTGCAGTGTTCATTCACTGCTCAGAGTCACTGTGATGAGGGGCAGCCATACAAATACAAACAAACAAACAAACAAACAAATGCCACCCAGAGTCATTTGGAAGTAAATCAGCAAATATATTCATAAATAAAAACAGAAATAGCAGCTTGCATTTTTAAAAAAGTGGCCATCTTGTTGTCATTGCCAAACCTATGCAAACTGATGTCTATGGAGATTCTCAGTCATCCAAGTCATGGTTGTCCCAAAGGTGCTTTTTCTTTTTCTTTTTTAAATATTAAGCAATTTTATTTATTAAAAAAAATAAAATTAGGATATAATTTCTAGGAATAAATAAAGTATTTGCACGGATCATCTATACAGCAGGAAAAGGATGACTGATTATTCAAAAGTATTATTTTACTTACATATAATTGTATGCATATTGAATCATTTAACTAATTATATAATTGTGAAAAGAGATACAATAGCAACAACTTTACTTGGCAGAATTAATGTCATATCTGTACTGGATATGAGTTTGTTTGAAGTATGACACCTCAGTTTGTTCTATCCAATGAACAAACTTAGCTTAGCTTAGCCAAGTTTCCCTGTTCTTATAATTAGTTCTATTATACTGCTAAAGAAATTATACAAAGGTGCTTTTTCAAAGGGCAACTGGACTTTGTTGTTGCTTGAAGATGTTTCGCTTTTCATCCAAGAAACTTCTTCAGTTCTGAAGCTTCTTGGATGAGGAGTGAAAATGTCTTCAAGCAAAAACAAAGAAAAAGCTCCTTTGAGGTTTGCAAACTGATATTTTCAATAAAAAATATTAACAAAGACATTGTCAGATGAAGGCATGGAGGCCAATGATTTTGTGGTTACAGGACTTGGTGCTTACTTAGTTTTCAGTCCTGCTAGGCTTTATTGTTTTTTAAAAGAGTGTTTTATTTATAAATACTGTAAGTAAATGAGAGGTTGATCTGCTGCAAAATCAGCTATTGGCTTGGAGGCATGTTATTAAGAACCATTAATTGTGGGGAGATGCATTCCAGTAAATTGTTTGGAAGTGTGCACCAGCAGAGAAAATAATGATAGGGAATATTTCAGCAGCTAAATGGATAGACATGGAACTATCACACCAGTTGTTCTTTGGTAAACAAACATTTTGTGTTTGGCTACATCCATCACAAAAATTATTTTCTAACTAGGCAAATCATGTTGTGAAAATGCCCAATCACATCATGTTCTAAAAATACTAGATGTGCTCCAATCCTCCAAATTTGCCTATTACTTGAAAGAAATATGTGACTAGTATCGTATTTCTTTGTTACAATTTTAACTCTAACCAGATCATCTGCTTTATCTAGGGCCTGCTTTGATGAGCTTCAGATGAATCATCTTGCACTTTGGCTGTTCTTGGATTATTCTTCTGATATTATCTACCTCATGGACACATTTGTCAAATTCAGGACAGGTAAGCAATTGTCTACCAGGGGGCTACACTCATCAATTAATTTCTTAAGAACATTGACCACATGGAGTGAAGTCACCAGGTTTATTAGAAATCCTCCTCTCATTTAGCTTGACCTGAGAGCCTCTCACCTCCAAAATTCCAATACTGCATACTCTAGGATTATACAGGAGGAAAAGCCTTCATAACATGGTAGATATTGAAGAAATGTTCCTACAAAGCAGTGCTTATGAGTAATTTTCTTTTCCTTACTCCCCCCCCTTGCAAATGTAGCCTTTTGTCCAGGTTGAATGCCAATAGGGGCAGAGGATAAAACCTCTGTTGTAGGGAGATAGACCAAGTAGTTGAATATATTGTATATGGTAGATTGAAAGGCTGCTTCAGTGATTAACACTTTAAGAGGAAGAGGATGGTACATTTTAAGGCAATCAAAGCTGAGAAACATTTGTGAACTTGCTTCTGAGAAAGAAATGACTCTGAAGTCCCTCTAACAACCCATAGTGGGTGGCACAGCATAAAGCTTTGGTTTTCAGGCAGATCAGAAAGAGGGGAAATTATTTTTGAAGCTTCTCCATCCTCACGAACTCCTGGAGGCATTATCAATCCTTTGTCCTCAAGAATCAGGAATTAAAGCACAGACTAGCCCTTCTTTCTCTGATCCACTCTCACTTCTTATCTATTATTAATCCTTTCTCTATTCCCCCACCTCATCTCTCTATTGAGGCTGGCTTTTCAATCCCCCCTCCTTTTCTCTCCTTCTCCCACTCAGTTTCTGCTTCCCCATTTCTCCCCATTTACATCAGTACCCCTCCCCCTGCATCCCTTGGTGTATCCAAAGTAAAGGGTCTCCTAGGGAGCATATATGGGACTTGCCTGGCTGTCCATGCAGCATGATGTCAAAATAATCAAGATGGCGATTGCAAGTCCATTCAAAGTCCCACATTTGTTCCACGCACAAGTAGTAGAGTTCAATAGTGACATTTTGACTTTTTGATACGACTCTCTCTTTCCCCAAAGACATTTTCCCTTTCTCTAAAATCTGTTTGCAAATATGGTGTCCCATTTCTAGCTCTTTGGCTACTTGCACTGCTGGTAAAATGCTATTTCCCCAAACCCTTTAACTCTTGCCTTCATTGTTTTTGCATAAATTTTCTGCATTCATTTTTAAATTTTTCTTTGCTTTCCTTGCTCTTTAATAAAATCTAACCCAGTTCTTTGAGGAGAGCATGGACACTATTTTTGAGATTTAAGCTCTTTGGGATGCATAATTTTTAAATATTATTTAGTTCAGAAATCTTGCTTACATACTAAACCATCCCTACATAACACATCATACATCCCTATGATTTTGTTCCCTAATTTGCCCCCTCTCTATTTTATGGAATGGGCAAAGGGAAAAATGGGTAATTTTAAGTGTTGTATAAATTTAAGGCTTTTCACCCCTTAAAATGCTTGAACTCTATTCTTCACAAAGTTTCTAGTTCCAATTTAAAGAGCAGTCTTGACACACCAAATAATTGCCTGGGGTCACCCTCCAGATAATAAAATTTGTGTTTTTGGTGTTAGAGCAAACAAACCCATTATTAGGAAAGTATTTTTAAAAGGGGAGAGATTTTAGATTGATTGGAAGATTGCTGTCTGTTCCTCCCAATAGCCAAAACTTTCTTGGCAAGTCATAAAATAAAGATTAAATTAATAATGTACTAAAAAGGGAAAAATAGAAGCTTTTACATGAATTGAAACAGTTCAACATAGTGGTACAACTGATAGCAAAAGCCAACAATAATGCATGTCCTAAACAGGGCTAATGTATGTTTTAATTTGAAACAAAAAAAAGAGTTTGCTTTCTTTGATGACGTCCTTGGGAAAGCAAAGCCCTTTCTGCTCTTCTCAGTGTGTAAGTGTGTAAAAGAGGGTACCTAAGAGGAGATGAAACGATAGGTCACTGCAACATATTTTGCATTTGCAAGTTAGTATGGGAAGCTTTATGGTTTAGGCATTTCTACTCAAGACATTTCTTACTTTTTTCTTTATTATACTTTAAGGTTTCCTTGAACAAGGACTACTAGTTAAAGATGAAAAGAAATTAAAAGAATATTATAAATCAACTTTGCAGTTCAAGTTGGACCTGTTGTCCCTTTTTCCAACTGATCTAGGATTTTTACACTTTGGAATGAACTATCCTGAGTTGCGATTTAACCGGTTACTGAGACTTCCCCGCCTATTTGAATTTTTTGATCGTACAGAAACAAGAACAAACTATCCAAATATATTTCGTATAGGGAACCTTGTCTTGTACATTCTCATCATTATTCACTGGAATGCATGTATATATTTTGCCATTTCCAAACTAATTGGATTTGGAACCGACTCCTGGGTTTATCCCAATATCTCCCATCCTGAACATGGACGGTTGTCCAGAAAATATATTTACAGCCTATATTGGTCCACGCTGACATTGACAACCATTGGAGAAACTCCACCTCCAGTGAAAGATGAAGAGTATCTATTTGTGGTCATGGACTTTTTAGTGGGTGTGCTTATCTTTGCTACCATTGTGGGCAATGTAGGCTCTATGATTTCTAATATGAATGCCTCTAGGACAGAGTTCCAGGCCAAGGTTGATTCCATCAAGCAATACTTGCAATTTCGAAAGGTCACTAAAGATTTGGAAGCAAGAGTGATTAAATGGTTTGATTATCTGTGGACCAATAAGAAAACAGTAGAAGAAACAAAAGTCCTGAGATACCTCCCTGATAAGCTGAAAGCTGAGATTGCCATAAATGTCCATATGGATACACTAAGAAAAGTGCGGATCTTCCAAGATTGTGAAGCTGGACTCCTGATTGAGTTGGTGTTGAAATTAAAACCTACTGTTTTCAGTCCCGGAGACTATATATGCAAAAAAGGTGATATTGGAAGAGAGATGTATATTATTAAAGAAGGAAAACTGGCTGTCGTGGCAGATGATGGGGTGACACAGTTTGTGGTTCTAAGTGATGGCAGTTACTTTGGAGAAATCAGCATCTTAAACATCAAAGGCAGCAAAGCTGGCAATAGGAGAACTGCCAATATCAGAAGCATAGGTTACTCTGATCTGTTCTGTTTGTCCAAGGATGACCTGATGGAAGCTCTCACTGAATATCCTGAGGCCAAAAAGGCACTGGAAGAAAAAGGACGGCAAATTTTGTTGAAAGATAACTTGATTGATGAGGCGGCAGCTAAAGCAGGAGCTGACCCAAAAGACTTGGAAGAGAAAATAGGTAAACTTGAAGCAGCTCTGGATACTCTTCAGACAAGGTTTGCTAGACTTTTAGCAGAGTACACTGCCTCACAGTCTAAACTCAAACAGAGACTTGTAGAAATTGAGACCAAAGTGAAGAAGTCTGGAAACGACACTTTGTTAGATGTACCAGACGAAGCTGGAAAACCAGAAGAACAGAAAAAAAATTAAGTATGTATGGTCATCTTCATTTAGCACAGAACTACTGCACCCTATATGAACACACTTGCAAATATGTGAACAAGATTGTTTTATATCATCTGGAACCAGCATGTTTGTATAGTTTTTAATTGAAGCAATTGTCTTCTAAATAGTAAATGCTGAACTTTTATGATCTTTTTAGAAACAGATTTCCACATTTCTTTTATTTATTTTGTATTGGGGAAAGATTTTCTATGAGTGATGATCACATCTTATTATTAGGTGTTTGTATAGACTCCATCACATTTATAATTCTAGCTTTGCAACAAGCACCTGATGCAAAGAGAGACTTCTCTGAATGGAACAGACTTTATAATACTGATGCATAAATATACCAACATGACTTGCCCATTTTCTTCCTTGAAGACGAAGCAGTTTTTCCCATTAATATAATGCATCCATTTCACATTATGTCTTTTATGCTTATTAAAAAAAACCCTTAATGTCTAGATGTGGCCTAGAATGTGTGTGGTGGAAAACAGAGAGTGGATTTGTCCAAATGCAGACCTGTGCAACAGCAAAATATCCACATTTCTCTGTTGTATTGCATTAGCAGAAAAATATTTCCAGCAACCGTTTGTGACTCATACCCTGATGGGTTTCATGCTCAACTGTTTCCTGACAAAATCTCTCATGTTTGCTCAGAGTTGGATGCTATTTTGACAAATGTAAAAAAATTAAGAGTGCTAATATGAGTTTGCTACCTGTAGGCTATGAGGGACTGAGTTCAGGAGGTGATTAATACCTCTTTGAGGGAGGAAATGGTACCTCCTCACCCAATCTGATAGAGTATACCTTTCTTGAAAGGACCCACTCTCAATCCTACAATGTTAGATAACTTCTGCCCAATTTCTGATTTTCATTTTTGGGGAACATTCTGGTGAAGGTGGGTGGTAGTGCTTCATTGCAAAGATGAAGATGACTATTTTAATCCCTTATGGTCATGGTTCAGTTCTGGGCATGGGCAGCAATGACATTATTTGCTCTGTATGGGGACACGAAAGGAACCTCCTTGGGAATCCTCTTGGCAATGGTGATGTCACCGGCTAACCCTTTCAAACCCAGAAGTGCCTTGGTAGGTACTTCCGACACAACTGCTCTCATGGATGACCTCTATTGGAATCTGGATGATGGAAGGCTGCTCTTCAATGGTTTCTGATGGCATGAACTGTTTTATCCTTCTAGACCATATCAAACTCATGAGTCATGTGACGTCGTGCGACGTATCGTGACTTTTCCCCCATTGCCGGCAATGGGGTGGGCGCGGTTTCGGCGTGATGCATCCAGCCCATGGGCTGACAGTTTGACATGTCTGTTCTAGACCATCTTGGAGAGTTAGGGAATCAGGATTCTATAGTGATTCCACTCCTTCTGGGAGATACCATTTAATACTACTTGATAAGATAGAAAAATGTGGGTTAGAGAGCATCACCACCAGATGGATTCATAGCTGGCTGACCAGCCGTATTCAGTGTGTGATCCTCAATGGAACCACATCTACATGGAGGGAAGTGTGTAGTGGGGTGCCCAGGGCTCTGTTCTGGGCCCAGTTCTTTTCAACATCTTCATCAACGATTTGGACGAGAGGATAGATGGGGAACTCATCAAATTTGCAGACGACATCAAGCTGGAAGGAATAGCCAACACTCCAGAAGACAGGCTTAAGATACAGGAGGATCTGGACTGACTTGAACACTGGCCGTTATCTAACAAAATGAAATTCAATGGTGAAAAAAGCAAGGTTCTACATTTAGGCAAGAAAAACCAAATGTACAGGTATAGTATAGGGGGTACCTTGCTCAATAGTAGTAACTGTGAGAGGGACCTCGAAGTCCTAGTGGACAATCACTTAAATATGAGCCAGCAGTGTGCTGCAGCTGCCAAAAAAGCCAACACAGTGCTAGGCTGCATTAACAGAGGGATAGAATCAAGATCACGTGAAGTATTAATGCCACTTTACAATGCTTTGGTAAGGCCACATTTGGAATACTGCATCCAGTTTTGGTCACCACGATGTAAAAAAGATGTTGAGACTCTAGAAAGAGTACAGAGAAGAGCAACAAAGATGATTAGGGGATTGGAGGCTAAAACATATAAGGAACGGTTGCTGGAATTGGGTATGTCTAGTTTAATGAAGAGAAGGACGAGGGGGGACATGATAGCAGTGTTCCAATATCTCAGGGGCTGCCGCAAAGAAGAGGGAGTCAAGCTATTATCCAAAGCGCCTGAAGGCAGGACAAGAAGCAACGGATGGAAACTAGTCAAGGAGAAAAGCAACCTAGAACTAAGGAGAAACTTCCTGACAGTTAGAACAATTAACCAGTGGAACAACCTGCCTCCAGAAGAGGTGAATGCTCCAATACTGGAAGTTTTTAAGAAGACACTGGACCGCCATTTGTCCGAAATGGTATAGAATGGGATAAAACAAAGTGAAGTTGAATGCCATTACAATGGAATAATTGTGTGTCCTGCAGTCATATGATAGGTGGTTTTAAAAGGATAGCACTCTCCCCAGAGTAGCAGATCTGCCACTTAGCGGTGTTCTTTAATTCACAACTACACCTAGAGTGTTTTTGTCCAGTCATGGTCAGTATGCCAATTGTGTAATTTCTTAGATCTGGACCTCTCAAAAACAGTTATCCATATCCTCATTACCTCTGATTAAACTAGTACAATGCCCTCGTCCTAGAGCTGACCTTGAGGAATATTTAGAAACCCATAACTGATACAGCATGCAGCAACTGATGTTGAGTACTGAGAGCTTGTTCAGTAGAATAGCATCTAAATTGTGAATTCTGCACTAGCTTCTAGTAGGCTTTGGAGTGCAATTCAAAGTGTTGACATTACTCTTTAAAGCACCACAGGGCTCATGCCCAAATTTCTTATGACTTGTGCATTCCTTTGGGTTAATGTTGACTCCTGACAACTAGCTGAACAATTCCCTGAAGTTTTCTTGGCAAAGTTTTTCAGAAGTGGTTTTCCATTGCCTCCTTCCCTGGCCTGAGAGTGAGTTACTGGCCTAAGGTCATACAGCTGGATTTGTGCTTAAGGCAGGACTAGAGATCACAGTATCCTGGTTTATGCCTGGTGCCTTAACCACTACACTAAGATTGCTCTCTATTTTATGACTGCCTGCTCTCTAATATTCTAGCCAGCCTGTCCACTCTACCTGGGAAAAGTGTTATGGGTCGTTTCACCTTGGGAGGCAAAGGAGCCTAGAAACCATGGTTAATTACCCCTACCCTGACCCTCTGGAACTTCTCTCCACCCAAGTTCTACATGAGACCCAGCCTTGCTATCTTCATGAGAGTGTTAAATTTGGCTTTTCGGACAAATTTTTGGAGATTAGCATCAAGGATATGTGTTCCTTATTTATTAATTTACCAATATTTATGGTCTATCTCAATCCTTATAGAGACTGGGTAGGCTACTATTAAGTCATAATCAAAACATTAAAACCCTATAAAACAACAATATTCAGATTAGTATTATACGTAGGTAAAAATCTAAGGGAAAAACTCACTTCAGGGTTGGAGCTATCTGTATCTCTGTGGGGAGAGTATTCTGGGGAGAAAATTCTATTGAGTGAACCTGCTACAGAAAAGGTATGGCCTGATGTAACCTGTACCATAAAGGGCTTTCAAAGCAATGACCAGGCCACTGAACTAGATCTGGAAGCCTATTGGAGGCAGCGCAGTAACTTCAGGATAAGGGTTATTCTTACCTTTTAGGATTGTTCCAGGAGGAATTTGCATCACAGCTTGCACAGCTGTAGCTTCTAGATAATCTGGCTCAAACTTGAGCTTTTTCCAATGCTCAATGCTTTGACTTTTCACTATCTTTGCCCTAACCACATGGCATCAGTGAATGGACAAAGGACTTGTCAGAGTGATCTCATCCAGTGCTCTGTTAACATGCTTGTGTTAAAAAGTATGTTGTTTTTATATGTATTTTTCCTCTATATGCATACTATCATTTAAACAAAAGTGACATAGGAAATCTATGGATGTTTACTATTGGCTGTTTACAACTGATGTTTTTACACTGGTAGAAAAATAAAGCATAGGGTTTGATTATATTTTCTATATACTTACAGAAGGGTGAAAGACTCTGCATATTTCTCATTGAAGTGAACTGGAATTGCTTTAATAAACAATAATACCCTGCTGAATCAGTTCCCTGGTCCACCTACTCCAGGGGTCTGTTCTCAGAGTGAACCAACTACACAAGGAGGCCACTAGTGTCCCAGCAGATGGTCTTCAGAGGCAGCTACACTGTCACCCAGAACAATAGTTTAACACTGGCTAGATCGTGTTAGCCACCAGTTTATTCAACATCCTGAAATTTTCCTTTCCCTTAAAACCTGCACAGAAAATAGTTTTCATGCAAGGAAAGATAAAAACTCTTTCAAATCAAATCTGATCCATGACTTCATAAACATGATCAAATAGGGTTTTTTTTAGTAACAGAGACATCTGCAGGATGTGTGTGTGTGTGTGGTGGGAGGGGCAGTAAAAAAATCAAGATGGTAGCTACAATCATGTGACCAAGATTGAATTCTTATTATTGCCCTCTCCCCCTTCTCCCGAGACTCTGATGGAAGAGTTTGATTTTGCCTTCTTTCAAGATTAATAATAATAATAATAATAATAATAATAATAGTAGTAGTAGTAGTAGTAGTAGTAGTAGTAGTAGTAGTAGTAGTAGAAGAGTGGGAAGGGACCTTTGAGGTCTTCTAGTCCAAACCCCTGCTCAGGTAGGAAACCCTATACCATTGCAGACAAATGGTTGTCCAGCTCTTCTTATCAAGTGTTGGAGCATTCGCAACTTCTGGAGGCAGGTTGTTCCACTGATTAATTGTTCTGTCAGGGAATTTCTCCTTAGTTCTATGTTGCTTCTCTCTTGGATTAATTTCCTTCCATTACTTGTCCTGCCTTTAGGTGCTTTGGAGAATAGCTTGACTCTGTCTT